GCTGACCGAGACCAACCCGCGAGACCCTGGGACTTGCCAAGGCCACCCAGGATGTCTGTGTCAGGGAATTGAACGCAAGTCTCCAGCTAGCGCCCTATCCACTGGGCCATCCATCCATCCTCTCTGAAGGCACATCCCTGGGAACAGAGACCCCCAGGCCCCTGGGGCTCCCCGCGGGGCTTTCCGGACAGCAGGAATCTCCACCACCTGTCACACTCACACCAGTCACCTGCAGTGTTTTCTCTCTCCAGTTTTTAGGCCACCTGACCTGGGTGACATCCTCCTTGAACCCCTCCAGCCGGGATGAGCTGCTGCAGCTCCTGGACACGGCCCGGGTAAGAGAGGGAGTCCACGGCCCGGGGCGGGAGCTGCCACCCCAAAGCGCCTCCACTCAGCGCCGGGGTTAGACGGGAAGACATGCGTAGTGTTCAGTGCCAACTGCCAGCTTCCCCACGCTGCAGAGGGGGCGGACAGGGAGCCCTGTGGAGAGAGGGGACAGGGTGACCTTCCTCGCAGTCGCATAGTGCCCTGGCAAGGCCCGCCCTGACTCAGGAACTGTTCCCGGCCCCGCTGAGGAGAGCTGGGACTGCAGCAGGGTGGGCTCCCGCAGAGCAGACCCCCAGCACCACCCACGGGGCTGCCTCCATTCTGCCTCTGACCATGTTCCTTTGCCCGTCTGCAGCAGCTGAAGGAACTGCCCCTCCAGACAACCCCGGAGCAGGACAGTATCCTGAGCCTGTCGGCCCGCTGCCTCCTCCTCACCTGGAGAGACAATGAGGAGCTGATCCTGAGGATCCCCACCCATGAGATCGCGGCCGCCTCCTACCTGCGGGATGATGCCCTGCACCTCCTGGTGCTGAAAACAGGTACGGAGACTCCCCTGGCCCCAGCGCCTGCGTGGTTCTGCCCTGCAAACCTGTCTGCCCCACCAGCCCCATTCCCTGCTGCTTTGGGCTGCAGGTCATCACTGGCACCCATGCCGGCGGGATGCCCGGGGGATCGTGACGAATAAGCGCGGCGTGTGGTTATATCCCTAGTGAGACAAGCACACAGACAGGGCGGGTTGGCTGGGTTCACTCCCTGCAGCATCCTTGGGCTCAGGGGCGATACAGAGGCATGCAGTGTCACCAGGTCCAGTAAGGACGTGAGCCCTCCTGCCTCATGGGGGACTCCAGAGTCAGACTCGCTGGCATGATAGATGAGCAGGGCTCTGCTTGGCCTGGCAGTTCACTCCAGACCCTCCTCTGCCTCACACCACTTCCCCGTGGCAAGGTGGGGAGAAGCGGAGAGCAGCAACAGGCCATGCTCTGCAGTGCTCTGATGCTCCCAGCCCTGCCATTTTCCCATCGTGCATTTCAGGGCTGCAGTGGAGGGGCTGGTTTCTTTCCCCTCGCTCGCCATATGCCAGGACCCAGTCTAAGGAGAGGAGGCTCTGGACGCTTCTAACAATAAACCCCAGCCTCAGTCAGTAACTGCAGCCGGGATCTCCTGGGGCAGGGACAACACAGGGCATTTGGCATCAGACTGTGCCCAAGGACCCACTGCTCTCCCGTCCCCCAGCCACGCTTGTAAAGGGGGTGTCCTGAACAACGTGTCCACAGTCAGTGGCAGGACTGCTACTAGCTGGCCAGGCCTCTGTCCCAGCTATGACCTGGCTACAGAGCTTCCATCCTGAGGTAGGCACAAGAAATGGGGTCTCGCTACCAGATACTTTAATGCCCTGCTGGGCTGACTCCGGCTGTTAGCAGCTAAGGGAAGACGTGTGGCACGTGGCACCAGCCCTGCACCCTACGCTGACTTGCAGGCACCGCGGGGGGCAAATGGCGAGGCAGGAGACTCACCTCGTGTGAGCCAGGGAGGGTGGGTACCAATCCCCCCACAGTGCAGGAGGCGGCACCTGGGATGGAGCTTTCTGAGCACAGATCTCTTCTCTCGTCTATTCCAGGCCTGGGAGTTGACCCCGTTCCTGCAGGGGGCAACCTGGACATGTACCCAGGGGGCAGTCTGGAGAAAAAGCTCCCTGGAGGGGCAGCTGAGAAGAGGCAGGCGGGGATCTGCCCGGAGCCCAAGCACCTCGGGGGCACCATGGAGCGCCGGCACACCATCTGCAGCCTGGACTGGAAGATGGCCCGGGGCGGGCAGGAGGGCAGGCAGGGCGGGGGAGGGAGCCTGGAGAGGAAGCAGGCCAGTGGCAGCTGGGAGAAGAGGCGCGGCAGCCGGGCGGGCGGCAGCTGGGAGCGGAGACAGACCTACAGCAGCAGCTGGGAGCGGAGGCAGCTGGGGAAGGCTGGGGGCAGCTGGGAGCGGGGTAAGACGTACGGCAGCTGGGAGCGGAGGCACACAGGGAATAACCCACTGGATCCCAAGGAGCCCAGCCCTGAGGCGTATTGCAACCTCATCATCCTGGCCGTGGCCAACAGGGTGAGTAGCCGAGGGTGCTGTCCCCTTGCCAACCCACCCGGCATTGACCCGCTCCGGATCACCACCACAGCTGTTTTCTCTCACTGGGTGCAGGATGCCGCTGAAGAATCCTGTGCTCTCATCTGCCAGGTCTTCCAGATCATCTATGGGGACCAGAGCATCGAGTGCGTAGACCGGGCTGGCTTCCACTACACCTCCACCCCCGAGCGCCCCTGGCTCTCCAGCAGGAGTGAGTGCCGGGCGTGCCAGGCTCAGTGGGCTGACAGGACTTGCAGGGTGTTTATCCTGGAGCTCTGAGGTGGGGAGGCCCACACGCGATGTCAGGGTGGCGAGGTCCGGCAGTGGGGGGAGCTGGCAGTGCTGTGAGAGGGCGGCATTTGGGCTGGCAAGATTCCCTGTTTCCTCTGACAGAGGGCAGAGTCTCCTCGGTTCGCGGGACAGTGCGTAGTGTTGGGGAGAGGGATAGCTCAGTGGTTTGAGCATTGGACTGCTAAACCCAGGATTATGAGTTCAATCCTTGAGGGGGCCACTTGGGGATCTGGGGCAAAATCAGTACTTGGTCCTGCTAGTGAAGGCAGCAGGCTGGACTCGATGACCCCTTCCAGTTCTAGGAGATAGGTTGGGGTTAGTGGGATTCTGCCTGCGATGCCTTAAATTCTGGGATGGTGCTTTGGGAGTCATTGCTGGGGCCACACTTAGTGGATGAGCGGGGGAGGTGGTGTCCCTGGCTCCTGGAGGTGATTCTAGAGGCATGGGGTGAGGCGAGCACAGTTGGACAGTTCCCTAATCTTGCCCTGGGGGTTTCCTTTTCCCAGGCGAGAGCTGCCGCACTGATGGAACGTATGGCTACGACGCTGATTTCAGCTGCTGCAGCTCATTGTATGTCCCGCTCCCCAAATAGCTGAATGCCCCTCCCCCCTTATTCCTGTGCCTGGTCCGTGAAGCCCGACACCGCCGGTTTGCCCCTTGTGCGAGGGACCCAGGCCCAGTGAGGGGGACTCAGAGTTAGAAACGGGGGGATATATTTATCTGCCCTTAAAGTGCTTGCGTCTGTGCCGGGGCTGGGAGCTGACAGCCAGGGCCCAGCACGGGTACATAAAACAGAATCTCTCCGTTCCAAAGAGAAAATGGGAAAATACAGACAAGAAACAGGAACGAGCACAGCCTGGTCCCAGGGGTTAACCTTCCCCCAGCTGGCGAGGTGCAGCCAGGGTCCACTGGCAGCCAGGAGGGCCTAAGCCCTAGGGAGACACATCCCAGCGGGTTGGTTGTAAGGCAGATGGCGTTATGTCCCCCTCTCGTGGCTGGTCCCTAACAGCCACAAGAAGCAATCCCACCACTGCCGGGGAAATGTGGTGGCAGGTGTGGGATGAACAGGGCCAACGTTTAGAGTAGGGCTCAGACTGTGATCTGAATGAGGATGTCTGGACAGCCCAGCTGATCTCCTTCCCTTCTGCCTGCAGCAATGGCTCCCACGAGACCTTTGACGCATATTACAGTGGGACTTCTTCCCCTTCCTTTCGGGAGTCGCGTGACAGCCTGGCCAGTGACCAGAGCAGCGTGGGACTGGAGCAGCTGCAGGACTATATGATCACAGTACTCTCCTTGCTACTGCATCATGGGGGAGTCTTCATTTCCCCTGGCCTCATTCCATCCTTCCAACCCCGAGTCCTACTGCATCACTGCCAGGGACCTGTGGGAGGCTGGGCTGGTCTGCAGCCATCTCTAACCCTGCTCTCTCTCTCTGCTCTGTAGTTGAGGAACAAGCTCTCCCCCCAGGAGATCCAGCAGTTTGCGTTGCTGCTCAGGGAGTACCGGATGGGAAGGTCCGTCCAGGAATACTGTTCTGATCTCCTCCAGCTCTATGGGGACAAGAGGAAGTTTCTCCTTCTGGGTAAATGGCTTGTTACTGAATGCTATCCCCACTCTGGCTTAGCTGGCTAGTGAACACTTGTGGCATCTTGGGTGGGAGACCAAGGGAATTAATTTGACCTTTTCTAGGCTGTGCAGAGACAGGCATCCCTCTTCAGGGAGTTGAGGTTTTGTGTTCATCAGATCGGCACTGTCCGATTAGAGATGGAGCCCAAACGGAAAAGTCCAGGTCCAGATTTTGAACACCCTGATCCAGGCACTCCTGAAAGCGGATTCAGATTCTACAAACTTGGTTTTGCTCATAACCAACCAATCTGTAAAGAAGGGATTGGAAAGAGAAGGCTTCAGGATATAAAGGTTCTGGTCTGACGGGGGTGACGCTGCCAGCTTCAGTGCCCATCTCCTCGATTTACACTGATGTGAGATCAGGATCAGGCCATTGGTTCTGAGAATACGACCCAGAATGAGAGACTGAAGGAACTACATGTGTGTGAGGCGGCGTCTCTAAGGGCAGGCGGGGGGTGTGAGGCAGCCTCTCTAAGGGCAGGTGGGGAGGTGAGATGGCGTCTCTAAGGGCAGGCAGGGGTGGGCGGTGTCTCTAAGGGCAGGTGGGGAGGTGAGATGGCGTCTCTAAGGGCAGGTGGGGGTATGAGGTGGTGTCTCTAAGGGCGGGGGGTGTGTGAGATGGCGTCGCTAAGGGC